TTGTTTGCATATATGGTTCCATGAAGAACCTTTAAAATTCATGGAATCTTTTGATTGCACAAAAGTTTCTTTATAGTGGAAAAAGGTTTTAAAATATACTTCACAGTAAGAAGTTTTTATTAATTTTTTTTCACTGAAAGAGTGGGGGAGCTAAAAATGGTTCTTCTATGGCATCTCTGTGAAAACCCACTTCTGGAATCTTCAGTTTTAAGAGTGCAATGAAAGATCATCTAACTTTTATTTCATTTTTAAAGTGAATATCACATTTTTCACTCCATTGTAAAAATCGTAATGTAAAATAATATATATATAAAATTTAAATTGTTTAAACTGTAGAAGTATTTATACATCATATTGTTGCAGTACATTTAATTTTAATTGTTTTAATTTTAAATAGTTTAATTTTAAATAAAATAAAATAAAACAAAATATAAAATACTAGTTGTCCAGTCAGGATGATTTTCATTATTGTTTTATCTTATATAGAATCTAATGAGAAACAGTACAAATAATTACAATTGCAGACAAACAAACATCTGAAAGCATTTCTGAAATAAGAAAATTGCTTATTTGTAATGAAAGCACATCACAATTCCCCCCAAAATCTAATGTATGTAAAAACAGTCTTTATATTTTTATATATAAATTATATATAATTTATACAATTGTATTAGTAATTATTTATTAATATATTATTTATTAATAATTATTTTTCTTTAAATTTAGGTTTCCTTTTAAATTTAAATAAAAAATATAATTAGTAATAAATAATTATTCATAAAATTATATTTATTTATTTATTTTAAAATTCTAAATTATATATAAATATATAAAGCCTATTTTAGACCTGTTAAAAACACTGTTAAAAGCAGTGCCCCTTATGGACCAGAAATGTGGTGTAATAACACATGCGCACGAATACAGCTTTTCACCAACCTTCTCATCATCTCTGTATTCCAGTCGTGAGGAATGATGGGCCATGCACAGTACTGTGATCACAAAATACAGCAGAGCAAAGATGCTGTGCAGCCACAGAAATATATTCCTAATGCACGAAGAAAAGAAAGTTATCAACATCATGCCATCAACTTCATGAATATGTACATGCACAACAAGGCTATATGCTTTTCAGGTCTACATTCATCATAAAAAACAAACTTACTGTGCGGGGACATTAGCCACTGTTGTTCGGCCGAAATTCTGTGGGCTATCTCCTGAAAAGTATAGAAATAAACAACTTCATGCTCTTCTCACATACCTGCATCAAAAATAAAACTCTGAAAGTAATTTGAGGCCCGTGTGGTACAGCGCAACTGAATGTGAAATAAAAAAACTCGCTACACCTCAATCATTATGCTTTGGGTTTGGTTGCTATGACAAATTTGTAAATGTACCGGTTTATTTCACAAATACAGTGTCAAATTGTTGCATAGAGATGACAGTAAGTGTCAAAACCCCCACCCTGTTTTAACCAGCCGGCCCCAAAGCTGCACCACAAACTGGTCTACCACACATCCACATTTAACACTTTTAGAGGACCCCAGTAAACTTCTGCCACCAAGGTCGTATGAAAGTCATATGAAAAGCTTATTGCAGGTCCGAAAACAACAAGAGGTAAAGCCAGTGGCTTTCACAATGCTCTTCTTGTGGCGTGGAAAGTCAAGGCCTTTCCCATATTTAACTTGGCCCTTCTAACCCTCTATCGTGCCTCCCAACCGTCTTCAAACACTGTAGGGTGGTCTGAATTATGCTTTTACACACGTCCACTAATGGAGGGTTAAGACTGAGCTCTTCTACATCTTCAAGAGTTTTCCCAGGCTTTTCATAAACTCATTCATCGACAGGCCCACACGGAATCTGCATCCGCAAATGTTACACATTCTCCCAGCTTTGTGCCTTTTTTAAATTGTAGAACTTTCAGCTACATTTAATACATTTTAGCATGTTGAAATACATTCAGCAGAATTCCCTCCAAGTCAATACAGAAAATGTACATTGCCGTCAAAAGTTTGGGGTCAGTCAGATTTGTTGTTTTTGTCTCTTATGTTTACAAAAATACAATAAAAACAGTGGTATACTTAAGTATTATTATAGTTTAAAATTACTGTTTCAATTTTGATACATTTTAAAATATAATTTATTCCTGTGATGGCAAAGCTGAATTTTCAGGAGCCATTTCTCCAGTCTTCAGCGTCACATGATCCTTCAGAAATCATATAATATTCTGATTTGCTGCTCAAGAAACTGTTCTTATTATTATCAATGTTAAAAACATATTATATTTTGTTGGACATCGACTTCAGGATTCTTTGAGGAATAGAACGTTCAAAAGAACAGCATTTATTCAAAATAGAAATCTTACTGACCTCAAACTTTTGAACAGTAGTGAATATATGTACTCTAACACTAACAATCTGTCAAAACTAATTCATGAGATTATTCTGAAGACTCTTTTTTTAGGTGCAAGCACACTGATGAATTAAGATGTAATGGTGATGTAATGTTGTTTTAAAGTTTACTGCCTTTTCCTGGATACCAAACGTGTTGTGTCTGTTGTCATGAATCCTTTATGGCTGAGCACTACTAGAGTAAATAGTAACCAAGCAGTTATGGATCTGGTGGAGGTACCGAGGAGGTTCCCAGAGAGGTTGACAGGCAAGATGATGGTGAGCGACAGCAAACACACCACCATCATGAGCAGGATGATGTGACGCTGGAAAGAAAGGTACGTGATCGCATCAATGCCACATTTACTGCGGATCTCTTCATCCCTACGGGAAGAATAAGGACAAAAAAGTCTATTTAAAAAAAGCCTATTTACAATTGCTTTTTTTATTTGGCAGACACTTTTATCCAAAACCAACTAATATATGCATCAGTATGTGGAAAGAAAGAAAAAGAAAAAGAAAGAAAGAAAGAAAGAAAGAAAACCCTACTTTGGATTTTGGCATCTTCTGTTATTGCGGTTCAACCAACATGCAGAACCAAACCAAACAAAACAAAACAAAACAAAACAAAACAAAACAAAACAAAACAAAACAAAACAAAAAACACAACACAACAAAACACAAAACAAAGCAAAGCAAAGCAAAGCAAAACAAAACAACACAACAAAAAATAAAACACAAAGCAAAACAAAGCAAAGCAAACAAAACACAACACAAAACAAAGCAAAGCAAAACACAAAACAAAGCAAAACACAACACAACACAACACAACTCAACACAAAACAAAGCAAAACACAAAACAAAGCAAAGCAAAACAAAAAACACAAACCAAACAAAAAACAAAACAGACTCTCATGACATGGTCGATAAATCTCTTAAAATATTAGATAATTTGTCCTTTTTACAAAGGTTGTAAAAAGTCATGTGTTGCAAGTCTCTAATCGTTATTTATGAATTAATAATTCATGATATTTGTAAAAAATACTTTTTACATTGAAAAAATACATTTAAATTTTTTTGGAAAATAATGTGTTTTTTTTCTCACATAGAAAATGTTTTCATACTTTTATTACTTGATGGTTCCAGTACACCACATGACATTTTAGAATCAGTAAATTGATGAGGCTTTTCTTGAAAATCAGACTACTATTCAAATGTTTGCGGTCAGTATGCTTTCTATTCATCAAAGAATCCTTAAAAAATGTATCACAATGTCCACAAAAACATTCAACAGCTGTTTCCAACGTTATAATAATAAGAAATGTTTCTTTAGCACCAAATCAGCATATTAAAATGATTTCTGAAGGATCATGTGACGCTGAAGACTGAGTAATGGCTGCTAAAAATTCAGCGTTGCCATCACAAGAATAAATCATATTTTACAATGTTTCAAAATAGAAAACAGTTGTTTTAAGTTGTAATAATATTTTAAAAATATGACTGTTTTTACTGTAATTCTGATGAACATTAAAAGACAAAACCATTTAGAAATCTCACCGACCCCAAACGTTTGAATGGTAGTGTATATTCAAGTTTTTCAAAACCACATGAAACCAACATGAGAACAAACATGTGGCACATGTTTTTTCTTTCCTTGTAAAAGATTTTTCATTTTTTTAATCGTGAACATATTATTGACCCATGTGCATTCTCTAAGAATCAAACCTATGACTATGGTTTTGCTAGATCTGCACTAGTTGAACTAAACAGCAAACACAATCTCTTTGAGAGTTTTCAGAGTGTTTCCAATGAATTATTGAAAAATATATATGTGGCGCCCTTTTTAAAAGACCACACAAATACATGAGGGCGTTGGGGGCTATTATGATTACAAGGAGCCCTCATACACACACAAACACACACACACCCCTCCGTCCTCGCCTCACACAGAGCGAGGAAACTCTCAGCGTGGCCTCTCGGTCGCCGGGGAGTTCAAGAAGCTTTTAAGGGAACCAGCTAAATATGGCACCAACATGCCATTTGAGTCGTCCAAATAACATCTCTGCAACCGTGGAGACAGACTAGCGGCTGGTTTACGGTTCTGAAAGGCCTTTGAGCGTGCCCAGACGTTAGACGTGCTGGTCCACCTTCACCCCGTGTTTTCCCTTCTTAATGAGATATAACATGAGCAAACAGAACGCTGGCTGATGACATCACCATGCACTTCTTGCACACTTACTTCATGTGGTACAGAGATGTTAGCCAGGAACAGAAGCCCTATAAAGAGAGGGAGGGAAGACAACGGTGTCATAAAAAGGTCTGGCATATAAAAAAAGAGCGCGTCTGGCTAGCTTAGCATCTGTCAGAATCATTAGTCCTTTAAGTGAACGCGGACAGCGTAACAAGTGGAAAAAGCCATGCGAATGCATGCAATGTCTTTAACGTGGCTGTGATGTCTTGAACTGTCATTGCACATAAAACGCAAGGAGACAGAGTGAGGTCAGAATATAAACAGACAGATAGTGTGCATAAAAGAAAATAGCGTCTAAGTGCACAGGCTATTTTATATGACATCAGCTCTGGGGCGACGCTCCGTAATAACCCACGTCGACAGATTGAACTTTGTGTGTGCCTCTGTATGTCTTTACGTTTCAGTGGTAGTAAATTCGCATCACTGTGAATATGACATTAAAAACACAGTCTATTAGTTGTACTCATGCTTTTATTTGTTTCTAGGCAGGGGTGTCGTTGATAACGACAAGGCCCTGTGGGTTTTTGCACTGCCAAATGTTGTAAATTCTAGCAAAGATCCTGTTTCTGCATGATCAAATATTTCTTAAATGTCTGTGATGATGTTTGTCACTTTCTTCTCTTTTACAAAAGGTTCTCACCATGTCCTTGGTCTCTGAGTCTGATGGGCTGGATTCTGACGGGGTTTTCTCTTTCTCACTTTGTTCTCCATAGAATAGTGATGTCAAGCTATAGAACAAAGACAAACAATAAAAATGACAGGTAACACTTCAAAAAAAAAAAAAACTTCACACACTGTTAGAAAATTCTATTATACTAGACTGGGGCAAGTTATCAGTTTTTACTACATATTTTTCAAGATGGGTATATTTGGGATTGTTATAAATATTATTAATACTTTAAATGTTAATATCAAATATTAATAATATTAAATGTTTCTCATAATGTACTAACCCTTGGCTACAAAAAAGCTATTGAATATTTTCCATAACTGCCCAAGAAAAAGATACAGTTCATTTAACACACACAATAACATTGTTTGAAATATAAACTTCCATCGAAATTCAAAAGCCAACTTCTATATTTCTGTATTAATATATTATACAGTAGGCTATTTAATAGCTTTTCAGCAAAAATAAAAAGTAGAGCAACTGGACCACAAAACAAAAAATGTAAAAGACAACATTCAACAGAAATGTAATTTAATTAATCCTATAATTTACAAGGTATAAAACACTTGTGATAACTTGCCACGACCTGATGTTTATCTTCATCCTGTGAACACAATTGAACATTTCAGTTAAAACCTACCTTCATTATACAGTATAGTAGTTGATGAATGCTTGAACGTGTGCTTTTATACTTGTTAATTTGGGTAACACTTTATTACTAGCATATTGGCTGTTTATAAAGCACATATTAATGCCTTAATCTGTGTGACCATATTTTAGATCCATTAAACCTACCCAATACCTAAACATAACTACAACAACTACCTTAATTAGTATGCAGCAAATTAGGAGTTTATTGAGGAAAAACTCTTGGTTAATAATGATCATGAGTTCCCTAATCTGAAGTGTTACCCAGATAACCACATATAAAACAACCATTTAAGCAAATTAACTTTTGATTCAAAACCGTACTAAGACATAACCCTTGTGACGACTAGCCATAGTCTTTTGTAAATAGAGTATGTTGTTAGTCCCCTCACTGGATGAAGCCTTTTCTATTACAAATATCCCTCTCAAGATTCCATCAGTGATAGGCCTGAAAGCATTTTTTCAGAGTCTTAACTCAATGCCAGATTCAAAACTAGCCTCAAGATCAGAAAACTGCAAGCATTTCTACCCAGGTCTATTATAGGCAATGAAAAGGCGCAGGTGAAATGCTAGTGTATACAAATGTGAAAATGCTATTTCTGTGAAAGCCAGAGCTTTCTCTTCTGTGGCCTGATGCAATGCTTTGCAAATATACTCACTAAGAATCAGCTGCACATTCACATAAACAAAGACTTTAATGTTACATGCTGATGCAGAATAAAGCAGCGCTGCTGCAACAGAAGTCTTAAGACTTATGATCGAATTCCACCCCCTGCTCCCACAGGGACACATTTTTATTTTTTTTCAAGAAACAGGTCTCTTGAAAATATGAGCAAAATACAAATGAAATGGAATTTAAAATGAAATGCAGAAGAAGAACAAATTACAAAATTGATATATACATTTTGTCATTTGTTCTTCAATGGCCCATCGTCAGTTATTCCTTATGTGTGTATATATATATAGTTATATATATATATATATATATATATACATATATATATAAGGAATAACTGACGATGGGCTTTGAATTATTAGAAAATAATGCACACCTGAGGTGGTAATGTGGAAATACATACAATTGTTTATTTATATAATCAATATGTATATATTATATATAAGAATATATGTTTCAGCCCATATAATCAGACCAATAATGTAACATCATGATCTAAATTGTCCTGTGTAACCAGCAGGTGGCACCAGGATCTCACACTGACCTGCTAAGCATTGAGTTCACTCAACCACCACACACAGTTGTTAAATTATTTACATCTTAATGCATTCTTCAAACAATCAACAGTTCTGAGATGATACCTGTCATTTTCCATAAGCAGAGCCAGGCGGCCGTAGTCCCACGCTGCCTTCCTCAAACAGGAGAAGATCAGAAGCAGGAACTAAAATACAGAGACACCAAACCAGTTATATCAGCATACATATTGTGTTTTAAAGTGGCCTTTATAAAAACAATAAAAAAAGTAATTTACAGGGAAACTGTTAGTAAATGATGTGCACAGTGAACCTGATCTCATATAGAGAATGTGAATAATCCAGATTATAGTCACTGCGTCACTTTAAATGTGTGTCAAAGCTATTGATATAAATAGAGTAAGAACTATTTGTGTAAGCAAGCACTCACTAGACCCCTGGCCAGCAGTAATAATTAGCCATTTCTTTGTCCTGAGAAAGACGAGGTGAGTGGTTGTCTTGGAAACTAACAGGCAGTGAGGTCTGCACGCACACTTGTGTTCATAATGACTCCGGAAGGAAGAGTCAACGACAAGACAACTTAAAACACTGACTGCTGGGAAGCTACAGGTCTCTATTGAGCTTGCTAGATTGCTGGTTAGCAACTTGTTCTTAAAGGTGAAGCGTGTCGTTTCTGCCCCCGGAAATGTCACCAAAAAGAACTGGGGGGTCCTGCTGTTTATAATTGACATAATCGATTCATTATTTTGAGTCTGACGGTTTCAATACATCGGTTGATGCGGTTTACAAAATTCATTCTCAAAATAATCTGATTTGGTTGTCAAGTTGAATTCAAATGTGTATATACTACTGTTCAAAAGTTTGGGGTCAGTAAGATAAAAAAAAGAAAAGAAATGAATACTTTTAATAGGCAAAAATGTATTGAATTGATCAAAAGTGACAGTAAAGACGTTGTTACAAAAACTTCTATTTGCAATAAATACTGTTCTTTTGAATTTTGTTAAAAAAAAATCATCCTGAAACGTTGACATTTTTGTACTTTTCAATGAAAATATTAAGCTCTACAACTTTTTTCATCACTGATAATAATAAGAAATGTTTCTTGAGCACCAAATCAGCTATTGAGCTATTTTAAATTGTAATAATATTTCACAATTTTCTGTATTTTTTACCAAATAAATGCAGCCTTGGTGAGCATAAGAGACTTCATTGAAAAACATAAAAAAAAAAATCTTACAGACCCCAAACTTTTGAACTCAATTTTGAATATGAGTGTAGTGGGACTAAATTTTACGCAAGCTGCATTTTTTCTTTTGATTTTGGGGTGAAATATGACTTCCCAGATAGCACACGTACGTCTGCAAGATGTCTGTTAAAGATAGCTTCTTCTGGAAAGCACCTGCTGTGTACAGACATCTGATAAACGTAATTAAGGTGTCAGATTTACATTCATTCTAAATCAAAAACATCTTATAGACATTTTTTTTTTTTAAGATTTATTTTTGCCATTTTGCCTTTATTAAGATAGGATAGTGTAGAATAGACAGGAAGCAAAGTGGGAGAGAGAGAGAGGGAGGTTGCATCAGGAAAGGTCCTCGAGCCGGGATTCGAACTCGGGACGCCTATAGCACAATGGCATTATATGTCGGCGTTATACATCTTGCACAGACTGAACGCTTGATCAGTAAATCAGGAAAGTAACTTCATGTCATGCAGCTGCAGCTAAACGATGCTGTAGAACTTTTTAAATATGTTGTACCAGCCACAGAACGACGTTGATGGCGAGGACGGTGGGGACTCCTCCGAAAGGCAGGCCCTGCAGGACGCTGCTGCGGGAGTGAGAGCGATAACATCTCTCTGCTGTGCTGTTCTCCTCCATCAGTGAGCTCAGGAAACTCCTCACATCCAGCTCCTCCACAGGACTGCTACCGCCTGCGGGCCAGGTCTCAAACACCGGCTGAGCTGTACCCCACAGGTCAGAGCGCACCGCCATGGCAGTGGCGCGGGTCTCAGAAAGCCCTTCGAACGTCAAAGCATCACTGAGGAGAGACAACAGGAAACAAAAAAATGAATCGGGTGAAAAGTTTAAAAAGATAACACTGAATGTACTCAAATGATGACGTCAACTACAAAATTAGTCAATCTGGAAACAAAAAACAGCCTCAGAGACTTACTGAACATCTTTTTTTTGGGTTTTGTTTTCGTTTTTACCCTCAGGAAGATAAGTTTTCATCAGCTACTCCCATAGGTTAAGTGTGTGTAAAGCAGGGGAAATCTTAGCCTTCTCCTGGCCATGTAATAGGCCATATGAACATATCAATAGGGAATTCAAATTGCTATTCCGGAAAAACGTTGCCCGTGACTGCCAATCTACGATCACTTTCCCATCCTTAAACCAAAACATAATTGATAGTGAGAAGGGAACTGACTGTAGCTTAAAAGTGCTGTGAGTGTAAGAAAGTGCTAAATACTGTAAATGAACATTTTAAAATTATTATTTAGTACTACTACTACTAATAGTAATCATTTAAAAATATTATCCAAATATGTAAAATAATTGTATGTACATCACTGCTCAAACATTTGGGGTCAGTAAGATTTTTAAAAAAAATATAATTTAATACTTTTTAATAATTAATAATTACATTAAATTAAATGTGATCACAACTGCATTAAAAATGTAGCAAAATTTCCTCAAAAATATTAAGCAGAACAACTGCTTATTACATTTTAAGATATATTAAAACAGAAAAGAGATATTTTATAATAACATTTAAATGATAATAGTATTTCAAAGTATTATGAACTGTTTACTGCATTTATGATCAAATAAATGCAGACTTGGTGAGCATATTCAAAAACAATAAAAATCTTATCAACCCCCCAAAAAGGATGTCTAATCAATTTAATTCACAAAACTATGAATGAAACTACAAAACTGTGCCCTATGAACTGTCTAATTTAGTTTTTTTCTGGATTCTGAGTTTTATGATTTAATACAAATTTAATTTAATTAACTTAACTTAATTAATTTAAAAGTAATCAAATGTAATTTGGCAGACAAACTGCTACACAACAGAGGTTTACTGTTTACATTAAAACATGGATGAAAAATATTGTGATATTCCTTAAAAATAATGTTGAACAATGTCATTGTAAATTGTATTGTTGTTGTTATTTTTGTTGCTTTGAGAATATATTCTACTGAACAATAGTAATATATTTATTTCACAATTTCTTGAAGATATTCTTTTTTGGAGAGTTGTAGTGAAGACCTTTGAGTTTCTATGTTGTATCAAATGAAATGGTGAAATGCTTGTGAAGTGACTCAGAGCAGCTTTGGAGATTAAGTTTATGTGGAGCATCTTCATATAGTGAAATGTTGAAAATAAGAGTATGTGTGAAATAGATAAAACTGTATGAGACACACAGAACTTGCAGACATTTTACACTTTTATAGACACTAGTCCACATCACAGTTTGAGTGTAAAACCCTACTTTTCATTTATTAATCAAAATGTTACCAAAATCTGTGACATTCTGCATTATAGGCCTATTGTACGTTCAGTTGTTATGACTGGATTTCACAATTTCGTCCACATATTCAGCACTATGAAAATCATAGGACCCTATATTATCTTTCTGAGGTACGCCGGTTCAAACAGTTCAAGCATTGTGCAAATTGGTGCTGGCTATGGTGACATTTGAACAAACATTTCTAAAACTTTAGACAAACATTAGGGCAGTTCGAAGCACCACTTCCATTCAGTTTAACAGATGTGTTTCGATTACCTTTATGAATATTGCCCTCAAGCACATTAACAGGAACACACAAACCAGCTCACTGGTTGTTTGTTGATATTACAGATAATGGTTTGCCTTAAACTGCTGGTTGCCATAATAGCAAATCATCTCCCAACTCACACATAGACTGAGCCACTTTACATCGGTCATGTAATCCTCATAAAATCACTTTAAGATGCTACATCATCCTCAAGTCTAAACACATCTAATCTAAGACGGTATCTTTTCAAAAGGTACATCTTTGTACCTAAAGTGCCCATATTAGTACCTTAAAGGTACATATTATTACCTAAAGTCAGTGAACATATTAGTAACTAAAAGGTACAAAGGTGCAGAGGCGGACAGTAATGAAGTATTTTTACTTTACTCAAGTAAATTTAAAAAGTATCTGTGGTTTATCAGAGTGTTTTTCTTTGGACAACTTTACTTCAATACATTCCAAAGCATAATGTCATACTTTTTACTGCACTTCATTTCATAAATAAAAGTTGTTGTTCGTTTTACCTTTAAGAACATTAAAAATGTAGTACTTTCTTGTACTCAAGTAAATCTTTGAATTACTTTTACTTGAGTAAAAGTAAGAAAGTAATAGATTTCTAATGTAATTAAGTATTAAATTATATTTAATATGAAACGTAGTGCAGTAAAAAGTACAATATTATGCTTTGGAATGTTGTGAAGTAAAGTTTTCTAAAGAAAAACACTCTGATAAAGTACAGACACCTGAAAAGTACTTTTACAGCAGAGTAAAAATACTTCACTACTGTCCGCCTCTGCAAAGGTGTAGCTATACCTTTTGAAAAGGTATCAAATGAAGTACAGAGTATTTAACTAACAAGACCATCAGGTCTTCATCTATCTATCTATCTATCTATCTATCTATCACTAGGAAAGCCTAGCAACTAGCCTAGGAAATGCTAACAAACAACATGTTAAATCATGCTAGCAACATGTTAGAAACATGCAATGTGTTAAACCATGTTAACATTTTAAAACGTTAGTAATATACTAATTCAAGCTAGCAACATGTTAAAAAACATGCTAGCAACAACTAAAACATATTAGCTATGTGCTAAAAATGCTAAAACCATATTAGCTTTTTCAAACATTTAAGGCTTTCTCAAGTCAACATAAAAGTTTGTCCTAACAAATTTACTCTCTAGTTCTGTTATGGCACTGTGAAAATAAATTCATGAAATAAATCCCATCATAATAACAAGATCATATAAATTAAATAAATTCAGTCTCAACAATTTTTTTGGTATGCTTACAGATCTCCTATTTTATCAGTACTATAAAAAATTAAAGCTGTCGATCAATTAAAAATGTTCATTAAATTAATAATATGCAGATTAATTGATTGAATTACAGTTACTCATATATCAATACTTGCAGAGAAAAGCCACCAAATAAAGATGAATCAAACACATTACATTATTGTGGCAGATGAGTAAATCTTTGAAATAAAATCTTCATGTTCATGCTAAGAATAGTTTGACTAACTTAAAGTCAGGCAATTAGCTTATTTCATATTCTAGCTCGTCGTCATCTTGACAAATGTTTTCATTTGTCACACTTCTGACATGACTAGATCAGAAATTGGAATATGAATATACAAGGTCCAAGATCCCAAACAAATATTAATTACTAATAATCATTATGGCATATAAAGACAACTTTATAATGGGAATTATATCATATATAATTACTGTAATGTTAGCACCATTCTGCTGTTCATTCACAGTCATTGATTTCACAGTAAATTTCTGACTACAGTAATTTATTGTAAAATAATACTCTTTAATCCTGTAAATTCCTGGCAATTTTTTACAGTGTGATCTACAGTCCACAGCAATCAATTTTGCAATTGGGTTTGTCAGTCTGGTCACGGCAGACATGGGACACTCAGTGCTTTGTTTTAGAGAGTGAGAGGCCACTCCAGATCATTTTGTGCTGGTATCAGGTCACAGTCTCCTGTATCCTGTACACAAACTTCCTCCTTCTTCTTCCCCCAGTCAAACAGTCATACGATAACTAACTTCACCACTACAACACACATGCCACCCAGCATCTGGCTCTTGTATATACAGACACGAATAATACAATCTGGAATTGAACTTCCAGTTCACAGAATATACACTGCTCAAAAAAATTAAAGGAACGCTTTGAACATCAGATCTCAATGGGGAAAAATATCATGCTGGATATCTATACTGATATGGACTGGGTAATGTGTTAGGAATGAAAGGATGCCACATCGTTTGATGGAAATGAAAATTATCAACCTACAGAGGGCTGAATTCAAAGACACCCCAAAAATCAAAGTTGAAAAATGATGCAGCAGGCTAGTCCATTTTGCTGAAATTTCATTGCAGCAACTCAAAATGGTACTCAGTAGTTTGTATAGCCCCCACATGCTTGTATGCATGCCTGACAACGTCGGGGCATGCTCCTAATGAGACGACGGATGTTGTCCGGGGTATTCCCTCCCAGATCTGGACCATCAGTGAGCTCCTGGACAGTCTGAGGTGCAACCTGGCAGCATCGGATGGACCGAAACATAATGTCCAAGAGGTGTTCTATTGGATTTGGTCAGGCGAGCGTGGGGGCCATTCAATGGTATCAATTCCTTCAACTTCCAGGAACTGCCTGCATACTCTCGCCACATGAAGCCGGGCATTGTCTTGCACCAGGAGGAACCCAGGACCCACTGCACTAGCGTAGGGTCTGACAATGGGTCCAGACAATGGGCTGGGCTCTGGGTCTGGCTGTGCTCTGGATCGGGGGTAGACGCTCTCCAGACACCGGATGATAGCCTCCCTCCAGTACAGTCCGGTGGTGTCTGGGAGGTCGACGGGGCGGTAGTAGTTGGCCCCGATCCAGAACAGGGAGTTCAGCGCAGTGTCGTCGAACACCGTTAAAACGGCGAGCTGGCTGAACTCCACAGCATACTCCAAGAGGGAAAGGTCCTTGTGGGCGATGGAGGTAAACTTAACAGCGAGGGAATCCATGGGGAAGCAAACACTACGGAAACAAAAAACACTGAATGGAAAACAGAAAACAAATGGAGGGGAAACACGTAGTTAAATAGTTTGTGGGTCCGGTCTTCTGTCACGATACGCTGCCGGAAGGAACGAAGGAGCCGTGGATAAACGAAACTGCAATTTATTCAATCCACACTTGGAAGGGAAGGAAGACACACGTACACAACTGGTAGATCCGACAAACACAGACT